CTTGTAATTTGCCAATTCACTAACACTATTAACAACTGTGCAAGTAGATGTGCAAAGGAATATTACCTATATAAAATAAATAACTGAAGTGAAAATCGCGTGAATATTTGTATTATGCATTTTATATTATTATATTGGGTATAGTTAGAACATACAATTCAATTAGAACTATACAATTCTCTACAATTATATCACAGTGAAAATATACGATACATTTATGTCTTAACCTATAATGCGATCACTAGGATATTTGTATCAAGTATATGCCAATGGGACTATTTGGTTTGATTATTTTACGTTCTCGTCATTTGTTCGCAATAAACGCAAATAAACACCGAGTAAATATTCTATCGAAAACATTCTGTTAAAGATCTATGTTTGAGAAAAATCCAATCGAAGTAAATTTTTGTCATTTCTTGTTGCGATGGTTTCATTCGAATTAACTTGAAAATTGGACGTGATATTTTTGATCCATGAAGAAATATCTTTTATGGAAACTTGAAAATCAAACTAGCGTCGGAAATAAGCCAAGCGAAATATCGGAAAAGATTATCGCGTACGCGTATGAATTATCCACGTTTTATTGTTGATATTCGCATTTTCTGCAATATACCTATCATTTAATAATAAGCGAATGAAACATGTTAGGAAGTAAAAAATGAACGCCTTAAAAAATTTTACTGCCGATATAAAGACAGCATGCTTTTGATCAAATGAAACGGTAAATATTTTAATTGATTATCACGAGAAAGAATGTTGAGAAAGTTATACTTTCTATTGGATGTTCTTCAGAAAATTGAACCATTTTTGTTGAACAATTTTTCATATAGATGGATAGTGACAAATCATGCATAAAACATGTTATTTAATACCAATATTCTCAAAATAAGACACAAGTGTACAATAATTAAAATTTATCATTTCTACTATAGTTCTCTTTTCATTGTGTTTTTTATAATTAATTATAATAATAATCATTGGAAAACACTATTTTCTGGATAGATCTCTATATATAGATAATTATCAACCTACATTTTGATTGTACCATATATCACTGTCACTCTTTCATTGAAATTTTGATTTTTGATAATGTCATCATTATATGTCTTAATAAGAAAATAAGTTTGTACAATTAGTGCACTGCAAAATTAAATTTTTTTTATAAACACTGTACTACACATAAGCAGGATGCTGCCATCTATCGGACTGTACTAGATGCTTTCATTTTAGTTGTCCAAAGCACAGACAAGGCATTTATTTTATTTAATTATAATTTTACATTCGACAATAGAAAGAAAACTATAAAGAACAAAATTTAAATATGACAAGCTAAAGGACTTACATTTCTTTTGAAGACATTCACAAGATTTTTGGAGGATTAGGGGAAGTGGAGATTGTAAAAAATCTGGAGAGCAAAACGTTAAACGTTAGAATTTGTATTTAGAAGCAAAGGAAAATCTTAAGTTGGAGATAACGAAAGATTCTTACATTCTTAGCTTTAGAGCCACCGTTGGATTTTCCTCAAAGAAAAAGAATTAATGCTGATGTGAAGCGTCTGTAACAAAATATCAAACATACTTTGTTGTTAAATTTGAAAAATTGACTAAATTGAGATGCAACGTATAAAACTACGTACTTGATCTTCTGGAGAGACCTCATGCTTTTGAGCACTGATTCTAATACCGAAAACAAGCATTGAACAAGAAAAAATATGAAAAAAGAAAAATAAAAGACTACTAACGCGCGTGTTTAAGTAACACTCGACGAACTCACTGGCTCTAACTTCGCGAATTATAATTTGAATGAATTTAATGAGAGCTATTTTGCTCTAGAAAATATAAAAATATTTCGCAACAAACACTGACTCTACTGGCCGCATTGCGCGCGGCCACTAAAATTTTCTGAAAATAAAACTGATTAGTAGGGGGAGGGAGAATACGTTCATTTAAAAAATACTGTTATTTTCTTGCTTAATTTGAATATGTATCAAAGATATTAGTCGTAAATTATAAAATATTTCTCAATACTGAATACTATAAATGAAAGACGATTATTGTACTCTGAATGTTCGTTATTAGAGCAGAAAATGTGCACATTAGTGATATTTCACGTCAAGTGTTATAAATATTCGAAAATGTTTTGCAAGTCAAAATTTCACAGTTTAACATACGTAAGAAATAATATTACGAGAAATCCGTGTTTTGAATCGTTTAATTGCGCACCAATCGTTGGAAAAAAGGAGGTATAGTATAGTAAACCTAATAGTTGAATTTAATAACCTAATACAAGAATATACTTATATCTATAAAGCATCAATTGATTTAATGTTTTCATCTTCGTATTTCAAATAATTATGAAATTACACACTACGAATTGTATCTCAAATATATATGTATATAAATTATATATCAAATGTTATCGAAAACAAATAAAATGTTACCAAATTTCCGTAAAAGAATATCCGATTGTCCATTAATCATGGCGTCTATGTGTTCTATCTTATCATCAGGACTCAAGAAATAAGCTGCAAAAGAACCCAAAAGTTAGAAACAAATATGTCGAACGAAAGGAAATGTGTGAAAATGAAACGATAATCAACTTTAAATTCTACTGAAGAAATGTACGAGACAAGCTGCCGGTAACTATACGAGTAAGATCGATGGCTGAAAAAAGATTGGCGCGAGAAGTTTCAAGTCACATGATTTCGTTATCATCGCTTAAGAAATCGTTAATTACACGTGTATTAATTAAACAATACTATTAATGAAGTATAAATGGAAGTAAAAGTGTGTCAAAGAAACGACATCACCGAAGAGACGCTGTCGATAGGTTAGAAAAACTTCTGAATCTGATGTAACACGTGTTATTGTCACCAAATGACTCCCCGCCACACGTCTCGTCGTACAACTAAGAAAGTAGTAGGGAATGGGGTGAACTTCAACGGGCAGACACGATTATTAAGGCAAACATAAACACTGTGTTCGTATCGTTGTTTTGAATTTCGAGCCTCGAGGCCTTCTACGCCTTACTTCATTTTAGAAATCACAGTAAAATTATTTTAATTATTAAATACGTACATTCTTAATAAATTGTTGTTGAATTTAATATTAAAATTGTTAAGAATTAAGCAGTATCAAGTTAAAGACTCAACAAATAAGTAGAAATATTATAATAGAAATGTGTGCGTAAAAACATATAACACGTATATATACATATAACAATGAGTTAGTCAATAAAAATTCAACAATATTTCTACTTGTTAGAATTGAAATTAAATTTTATGTATAATTTTAGTATAAAATTATACATAATTTTTGACATAGTATGTTTAAATGTTTATATGTTATTATTGTTAAAATTATATGTAATAATTATTTGATTAAATCTTACTTTGAGTTGAAGTCAAAAATGCACATTTTATCTTAAAAATTTATAATACAAACATAAATTTGATAGTTATTGATTTATAGTTTTACCTCAGAACTTTTGGATGATACTTCTTTCTGGGTGATTCATCTGGATAACACTTTCTTCTTTACGGTTGAAGCGTGTTCCTTTCCGCCATGTTTCCCGTTTAAAAATCGATCGTGAGAAATATCGATTAGGTTCGATAATCATAAGAAGTATGTTACGTATTTCACCGTTGGGCGCTGTAATCGCACATTTCGCGAAATGATAATTTGGAATAAAAAATAAAAAACCTTGGTCTAAATCAAATACACAAGATTCGTAAGATATTCTTAAAAAAGAACAAAAGTATTCATACACTTGATAAGAAATTGTCAATATTTTAAACCAAGCATGAGAAATTTTATTATATTACGCAATAGAATTATTATTTTAGCCATTATATACGTACATCCTCAATAAATTATTATTGAAATTGAATTAGTATTGAAATTGTTAAGAATTATACAACATAAGAATTACAATTAAAGAATCAATAAATAAGTAGAAAATGTTACAATACAAGTATATGTAGTTATATCACAATATTTGTAATGGTTAGAATTGAAATTAAATTTTAGTATAAAATTATAAATAATTTTTAGCATAGTATGTTCTATCTAATGTTTATATGCGATTATTTCTTTAATTGTTGAAAATTATATATAATAATTATTTGGTTAAATCT